ACAGTACGGATTTATGATTCGATTTGTTTTCGCTTTTTAACTAATGAGCATTAGTTCTTTTTGCGATTCAAATTTGATTATAGAAATTTAGATAAATTAATTTAGATAAAGTTATATGAATGATCATAATTTCTTCTAAAATTAGACCTTAGGTAATAATTATTTCTTTCTTGTACACGTTTAACCGGTAATTTTTTTTCTGCATTCCTCCGTCCTTTCAATTTTCTCTTCAATTTTTTGCAGATATTCTTTCTTGTAACTTCATCGTTCCATGTCTCTAATCCATAATGAGCATTTTATTTATATTTTTATATACTATGCAATATATATGTAATATATTATTAAATGTAAATAGGTGATATTTATATGTAAGACACTATTCAATAACTAGTTGTATTGGTATTTAGCCTTGAGGCAAGTTACATGAACTTCCCGATATGTGTAAATAATCGACTTAATCAATAAAAATAAAATTAATTTATGAGTGATTAAAAGTATTCCGAGTGGATTTATTACACTTATTGTTAGTTGAAAACGAACGAACACGTTAACTCGGAGTATTTTCTAAAGCAAATATTCAAAAATCAATAATTTTTATAATTGAACCAGTTTGCGTAGGACTTTAATAGTTTAGTATGTTCAAGACCAAGTACTCTATCGTTATACCAGTTAATCGTCTATTTTTAATATTAACAAACGTCAAAAAAACTACTTATTGATGAATTTTTAAAATTAAACTACTTGGCGTAAGGCCGTAATATTTCAGTAAGTTCTATAAGACCGTGATATATATATCGCCAAAAAAATTTCCATGAAATCGACTTAAATTTTTTTTCAACAGTTAATTACAAGAAAACGGCTCGGTAGATTTTCACCAATACTTAAAAAATTTTACTCTATAAAGGTGTGAAAGCGGGTGGTCTCAAAAAATTGTCACCTGACCATACCTACGATTTTAACCCTCTAAATCAACTGAAACAAAGATATAGATATATTATTATCTCTAGAATAATGTCGGAATCGTATGAACTACAAGCAAGTTAAAAAAAATGTTTTTTTACAAAATAATACGACTATATAAATTTTTTTTTTTACAAAAATGGTAAAAATCGAAATTTGTCGATGAGCGTACTTGATACTGAAGAGGTCTATAAAAAACTCTGTAAAACATCAAGTAAGTCGGTTCAGTAAAAGTTGAGAAATCGTGGGTATCGTATCGAAACCACAAGTTCGAGAAAAAAAAAAGGATTTTTCGGCCGCGCTTTTAGAGAATAATTGAATAGTCAAACTTTGAAAATACAAAAAAGACTAAATTGATTTCTTTACCACTTTCCACTCGCGAATTCCGAGATTTATATGAATTTTGCTGCCAGAGCGGCGGCATCCGAGTCAAAAGGGTTAAATTCTATACCTTCAGTAAATTAGAAAATATAGAAAATATGTACTCAAGTTAGGTAAACTAGTTAAGAAAATATATAATATTTATATTCATTACGCAATTCAATAACTATCAACTTCAATTAATTTGATTACAAATATTAAATTATCAAAAAAAATGTAATTTTATATTTTTTATGCACATGAATTTAATATGATACCAATTGTACATTTTAATTTTCAATACCAAATAAGAAAATATTTTTCTGACGATGAGTGAGTTAAATTATCAAAGAAAAGATCTTACATTTATTTTTAGTACACAATTCAATAACAAAGACAGTATCAATTGTAAATAAATTTGATTAAAAATATTAAATTACAAATGATATTTGATACAAATATTTAACAAGATTTATCTGATTGTAAAAGTGAACTTATGAACATATATTGGAGGACAAATTATACCGCATCTGGATAATCTTGCTTGCATAAAATAAAGATTCACGTAAAACTAATTTTGCAGGTGTTTAATATGAAAACTATGTACGTTTCTATAAATATATTGTATCAATAATAAACAGAATCATCGGATTCAAGAAAGGCGCCAACAGCCGAGCAAAGTAAAAAATGTAATTTTATTACTATTATTTATTATTATTATCATGTGTAATTTTGCAATGTAACTCATAGGGTCTGTAAATAACTCTGTTATATAATATAGAATGAATAAAAAAAAATTGTTTGTTTCGAGAGAAAATCAGATTCGCCAATTTTATATTTTCTCGACGTTTTAAGTCATTTTGGTTCGAATGGGACCAAATTTAGAAAAATTTTGTGTATGTTGTATGTGAGCCAAATTTTGGCCTTTCGTCGATTTAAAAACGGCTGAACCGTTTTCAAGAATTTAAAAACCATTCGATGAAACTTGATAAGCACTCGCGTTGGCTAGATTTTTAATACATCGGTTGAGCCGTTTCTTTAGAACTAGCAGAAAAGTGCAAAATTTTTCGCCCACGGTTCAACCAAAAATCCTGAATCAACTTTGAAATTTCAAAAACTATTTGAAAATATTGCTGATTAGATTTTGGCTAAAATCAGTTAGACCGTTTCTTTGTAGTTTAATGCAAAAAAAATTCAACGTTTTTAAATAAAATTTGTATGACGATAAAGTTCTTGGTCTTGATGAACATACTAAAATATTATAGGCCTACGAAAGGTGGTTTAAGTATAAAAATTAATTAAAATCCCGTAGGTCAAAAGTTATAGTAATCGCAAAACATCGAAAATGAAAATTTAGCATATTTTTACGTTTCGAAGGTTTCTGAACATTTTGGCATATCTTGAAAAAAGTTTGTGTATGGATGCATGAAGTAAGTATGTATATATTTAAACATTGCACTGGTATTGACGAAATAAAAAATTAAGTAATTTTAGGGAAGAAAATTCAGCGCTTTCGGAGATCCAAAAAAAAGTTTTTTTAAAAAAAAAAACGCCATTTGGCGAACACAAATTATCATTAGACATATGCACATCTAAGATATCTAAGGTAGATAGCTTAGATATCTTATAGAAGTTTTAATAATAAGCACAAGTTTTGTTTACATTTCCAGGGGTTATGTTTATTGAAGTTTATTAATTTAGTTAATACAAATATCATCGATATTTTCGTTGATAGTATTACTCAACCGACTTGAATGGATTTCAAACTTAACGAGAAATTTCAATTTTTTTAAAAAGGTCGATTTTTTCTCAAAATTCCCAATTCTCAAAAATATAGTATTTCAAAAAAAAATAAAGATATTTTTAGCAATTTGCATTAATATCATGCATCACTAGTTTACTTTTTACTTCTGCTCTGGTTTTGTATTCATGTATTTACGTTTCTTGCGTAAAAAGCAACGCCGCGCGATCGCGAAGTTTTAAAGAAATGAAAATATCGAATGTTAAAACAGAAATTTTAATATGAATAAAAAATGTTAAAACAGTCAAAATTTTAAAAATAATGAACTAAAAAAGAAATATTTCAAGATTAACGCTTTCAAAAATTTTACGGTACGAGAAGTTCATAATTTGTTTAGCAATTTGTCTTAAGGCACGATGCCATGCACTGCTAGTTTTTGACAAAGACCAGCCAGACCGTTTCTTTGAAGTTGATTGCTAAGAAAAATATTTCGACGATGTTATAGAAAATTTGTATGGCGATGAAGTACCTGGTCTTAATGAACACACTAAAATATTGTAGTCCTACGGAAAGTGGTTTAATTATTAAAATTAATTAAAATTAATATTAATCGGGCGCGCTTTTACATAGAAAATACTCCATTGTACGTATTATGTACGTGAATGTTTTTCCTTAATGTGTAATAATTGTAATTAAAAAATTGTACAAAATTTGATAATCTGCACTATACCTATAAATTACTATATCGATTTTTTATCGTTTAAGTCGATTATTTGTACATGTCGGGAAGTTAATGCAATAAGTCAATCAATTTTTTTTGACGATTTTAATGAAAATTTGTATGGCGATAAAGTACCTGTTTTTGATAAACACACTAAAATATTATAGTCCTTCAATTAATTGTTAAAATTAATCAAAATTAGGATTGATCGGCCGCGCTTTTACATAGAAAATATCTATGTACGTATTACGTACGTGCATGATTTTCCTTAATGTGTGATCATTGTAATTAAAAAATTGTACAAAATTTGATAATCTGCACTACACTTATAAATTATTTTATCGATTTCTTATCGTTTAAGTCGATTATTTGCTCACGTCGGGAAGTTAATGCAACTTGCATTGTCGAGTCAAAATGCCACTTACACCTAGCATAAATAAGTCAATTTTTCTCGACGATTTTAATAAAAATTTGAATGGCGATAAAGTACCTGTTTTTGATGAACACACTAAAATATTATAGTCCTTCAATTAATTGTTGAAATTAATTAAAATTAGGATTGATCGGCCGCGCTTTTACATAGAAAATACTCCATGTACGTATTATTGAACGTTTTTCCTTAATGTGTGATCATTGTAATTAAAAAATTGTACAAAATTTGATAATCTGCACTACACTTATAAATTATTTTATCGATTTCTTATCGTTTAAGTCGATTATTTGCACATGTCGGAAAGTTAATGCAACTTGCATTGTCGAGTCGAAATGCCACTTACACCTAGTCAATTAATAATTCGAGAGTGTTTAAGTAAATAGGTAATTTTAACGCGTATTTTTAAGCCGATTCCATCTACTATTGCAGCACGGCCAGAGTCACGTGATCGATGCGGGAATAAAACAAACAGTAGTAGTAGGTTGGATGTTGCATTCGCCGATTGCCGGATTAGTTAGCAGATTGGCTTGCGGGAGAGAGGCTATTGTGAAAATTCACGCAATCGTATTGATATAAACTCGACTCGTCTATGATAAATAATTCATTTAAGATAGAAACAACACTCGGTTAACCGAAACTGATTTTATCCACGATAAAACACACGTATTTCCTAAGTTCGAGTCAACTTTTCCAAAACCCGTATGCGTGTAAAGCAATTTTATAGCTATGGCGTCTAAATATTTTTTTAAATTTATTTAACAAACAATCGTCGATGTTTCGCTTACCAGTTGTCTGGTCAGATGTTTTTTGCTGCCGCCTGTCGAATCCGACATTGTGGACACTTGATATTTTTCGGTTTTTCACTTTAGCGATGTTTTCGGTGTTATTGAGCTGGCCGAGAGATACACACGTTTACACACGACAATGGCTGCGCCATTTATGAAGATCCGAGTAGCACGCATAGTCACACACACACTCAAACTGCCACACACCTTGCCCGCTCTCACTACTACTACTACAACTTCATCGGCATCGATACAAAGCGACATACAACGTACGCTTACTCGCTCGCTCGCTCGCTCGCTCGTTCGCTATCAACTAGTGCGCTAAAGCGAATTGTATGAAATGGCGTACTGTCAATGACATAACGACTCAATGACAATGACACTATGACACAATGCCGACGACGCCGAATGACAGATGATAAACATTGTCGCCAACGACAAACATTCAGTCTGATTCAGTCATTAACAAATGTAATGAAACACATTTTTTTTAAATTTTATTTTTGGCTTCTGATTTACATCATTTTGCCATTACATTTATCTATACAGTTCTATATAATACAATTGTACTTAAAAAATAATGATTACACCCAATTATACTTGTTTATATAATACAATTATACTCAGGGCCGGATTTAGAAATTTGGCGCCCCGGGGCAATGACAAAAATGCCGCCCCATCCCCGAAATTTTACGAACTTTCGAACTTTTTTTAAAGCAATCGTGCTGCTTCAGCTGCGAGAGACAAAATATAGAAGCGCGTAAGCGCCGTGTCGCAGTCTAACGGATAAACAATGCTACAAAACTTATATAAATGTAAACAAAATTTATACTTATTATTATAATATCTTTAAAATATCTGGTAATTTAATGTGCATATGTCTTAAGATCACTTTTGTCCGCCAAATGTTTCTATATCAAATTTTTTTATTGGATCATCGAAACCGCTAAACCTGCCCCACACAAATTTAAGCAGTTATTTATTCTGTAATTTTTTTTGAATGTTATTGGACGCTTTTTTCTCAAAAACTGAATTATCATTTTTGGCATTTTGACCCGTATCTTCAAAACAGGTGGACCTGCCTTGACCAATAACTAATCAGCATGTCTCCTTATCAATAGGAATTAAATCGGCTTGAATAATTAAAAAATATTAGATTTGAGACGTGCTGATTAGCTTTTGGTACAGGCAATTACGAAAAATGGTAATTAAGTTTCGATATTTCTTCTCTGAAACAGCTACGCAGCGCGATTGCTTTGCAAAAAGTTCATAATTTTCGAAAAATTTCAAAATACAAAAAATGTGTTTTAGAAGTCTTTTTTTTCATTTTTCAATAAAATTTAAAGCTCTTTATAAAATGTAATTTTCAGTTCGGGATGTTTCAGTAATTTGTCTTAAGGCAAATGAGTCACTAGTTTAAATTTGTTTTTCGGCGCTTTAAGCTTGGAAGTGCACAAATACGTCATTTTAAGAGGGCTCGAGAACTGAAAAACATATTTTTCTTAAACTTTCAGCTTCTTTCCGGATATTTATATTAGCCAAATTGCCAAATTTGATAACTTATTAACCAATTTGATAATTTACGTTCGGATAGGGAGGCAAGGCAAAATAATAAATTTTAGTTATCGTTTATTTCAACCCAAATTTTGCATTGCAATCGTATTATGTTTTGTTAATTATATTTCTTGAAATAAAAAATGTTGTTAAAAAAAATTGATTATATTGAATAGAATTTTTTTCTCACTATCCAAATTTTGCCGCCCCCCAAAATTTGCCGCCCTGGGCAGTAGCCCCGATTGCCCCTACTGTAAATCCAGCACTGATTATACTTGTATAATACAATTATACTATAATTGTTTGTATAATACAATTATACTTGTTTATCTATGATTACACCTAAGTCTGTTTTTACACGGTCTTTTTGTACACGGTTTTGATATAACACGGTTTGAAAATTGAATATTTTTAATTTTTTTACACGATTTTATTCCATTTAGCACGATTTGAAATTTTATGTACTTAAATTTTTTTTGCCAAATTTAATTTTTGCGAAGTATGTTCCTATTCTTTTCGTTCACAACATAGTTTTTTAGTTTCTGAACTTGCCATACATTTAATTTATATTACTTTTAAGATTAGAGTGCATATCTTTGATATCATTAATTACTACGCTTGTGAAAATAAGCATTATATATTTGATTTAATAAAATAAACATGAATTCTTGTTCTTAAAAATTCTTGTTTTTCACTAATTTTAATAGGTTTTTAGAGATTAGGAACAAATCACCCATTTTTGTATAAGATCAATGTCTTTTTTTACACGTTTTTTTTTTACACGGTTTCTTCTGGAACCAATCTACCGTGTAAAAACAGACTTAGGTGTATATTACAGTAAACCCTCGCTTTACGCGGCAAGTGCGTACCGTGCAGTGTAGGAACCGTGCTATAAGAAACTCGTATTTAACATACAAGTCAGGCTAATTCGTAGTGCGTTCTATAGAACCTTACATAGTGCAGTATGGGAACCGTGTTATGAGAGACTCAGAGTTAGTACAAATCGCACCATTTTTATCGCGTTGTATGGAGACCAAGAAATACAACTTGAAGTAGGAGAAATACGGACGAAATGACGTGTAGGACATTGACACCTTATTCAAAAATTGGCGCGACGCAGTAGTCAGCTCAAACGTGTTCTTAGGCGGCTATTATACAATCAGGCATGTCTAAAAGATAAAAGTCGACAACAAAATTTACATCAATACCCTTTTGCACAACGAACTTATGGGCTGTTGACCAAATACCACGTAATAAGAAGTCCGTGTAGTCGGAGGGATGTCGGATTTTTAGCTCCGTGTAGTATGGGAACCGTGTACCCAGAGTGCCGTGTAAAGCGAGGGCCTACTGTATATGTTAATTTTGCCGTTACTTATAAAGTTATATACACCTAAGTCTGTTTTTACACGGAGATTGGTTCCAGAAGAAGCCGTGTAAAAAAAAACGTGTAAAAAAAGACATTGAGCTTATACAAAAATGGGTGATTTGTTCCTAATCTCTAGAATCTATTAAAATTAGTGAAAAACAAGAATTTTTAAGAACAAGAATTTATGTTTATTTTATTAAATCAAATATAATAAAAAAAATCAAAGTAAAAATTGTTTGTACGCGCTAAAGGGGAATTCACTTAAATCTTTAAGCGAGTGTTCGCAAACTATCGATACTATCGATGGTTTCAGACTTTTTTCTTTTATAAATACTTTTTTGTGATATGAACATACTTCGCAAAAATTAAATTTGACAAAAAAAATTAAGTACATAAAATTTTAAATCGTGCTAAATGGAATAAAATCGTGTAAAAAAATTAAAAATATTCAATTTTCAAACCGTGTTATATCAAAACCGTGTACAAAAAGACCGTGTAAAAACAGACTTAGGTGTATATATTTATAAATCCTTATGCCATTACTTGATATAATTATTTGTACATTGATGGGAAAAATAATCTTTAAGTTTTGTATGTTTTTAAATAATTTTGATCTTTCTTGCTGATAATAATTACATCCCCAAAATATATGGTCAAGTGTTAATGAAACACAATTTAGATCTCACAAGTTTCTAGAATTAACATCGAGATACTAAGATCCTATAAAAACGCCAAATTTCCACAAGATTAATAATGTTCCTACCAGTGGCGTCGGAAGCAAATTTTTGATGGGTGGGCTCGCGGGCCTGTGTGGTCTTGTTTTTTTTTTTAGACATTTGAGACAGTATCATACTTAGGGATTGAGATTGATGGGTGGGCTCAGCCCACCCATCAAATTTCATGGGTGGGCTCAAGCCCACCCAGCCCACGCGGTTCCGACGCCACTGGTTCCTACTTATCTTATAACTTTACAAAAAACAATCACTTCTACCTAAATCATCACTTATTAGTCCAATCATTTAAACTTAAATTAGGTAAGAATCTCGGAGTTCGAGATACCCAGCTGTAAGTCTGTAAATACTTGTATCAGAGGCGTAACTACCGCCGTATCAGCCGTATCAAAAATACGGGGCCCCCGAGCCAGGGAGAGCCCCAACGTCCGTAAGCAAATATTAATAATAACTAGTGGGGTGCATGGCATCTAGCCTTACGGCAAATTGCTGGAACTTCCCGCACCAAATATTATTATTTTTTTTAAAAACGATTAAAATTTTTGAAAAAATTTTACTTCGAAAAAATTAGATTTTTGGGAAACTTATTTCTAACTCTGTAATCTTATTTTAAACTCAACCTTTTGCTAATTAAATAAATTAATTTCTCATACTAAACATAGATTTCAGAGACTTTGACTCAATTATTATGTTCGAAAAATTACAACTGGGGTCATTTCGCAAACCATTACAGTAAGATACAGTGGGATCATCTCTTTTAATTTTTAAAACCCATTAGAGAGTTCAAAATGCATTGTAAACTCTCCAAAAATATGTTTAAAATATGAAATTCAATACTTATTTATATTGCTGACAAAATTCAATAGTTTAGCATACAAGTAATTTTTGCATACGATTTACCCAGTTGCAATCGTTTTGCAACAATCGTTTGCAAAAGTTTTCAAAGATCGAAATTCGTTTTATCAAGAAATTCAATAAAAAACTGTGTACAGCTGAATTTGAATTGTTTGTAGAAGTTTTGAAAAAGGGCTAGATGAATATTGATGATAAGTGAAGGTTAATTAAATTTATTTATTTATTATTTTTATTTATTTATTTATTTGTTCAACACCTAAGGCAATAATTTTAATTTTTATTTTTTATGTGAGAAAATTCCGCCCTACCTGAGGGGGCTCCCAAAAAAAGTTTGATACGGAGCTCTGCCAATGCACGCTACGCCCCTGACTTGTATATTGACACCCTAAAAGTTGTCTCAAAACCTACATGTGGTATTGACACCCTACCATATAGGGGCGTCAATATACAAGTATTTACAGACTTACAGCTGAGTATCTCGAATTCCGAGGTAAACTTACCATAATGACAGGACCATATATGACGCACAGTAAACTTTTGAGTTTGTAGAAATGATATGACAAACTGCTTAATTTTCTCACATAGTTATATTTTTAACTTTCCGTGGGCTAAGTTATTGTAATCGTCCAAAAATTGAAATTGAATTTTTTTGCATATCTTTACGTTTCGAAGGTTTCTGAACATGTTGGCACACCTTAGAAAAAATTGATGTGTGAATTGTAGAGATATTAATTACTGGTTCTCTTACACTTAATCATAGTGTCAATATTTTAGTCTGCACTCGTTGGCCTTTCAATCATGACTAACCTCTCGCTCAATAATAATTCATTTTACCTGTTTCGATCCTTATTGTACGAATAAGGGTCGATTTATAAAAGTTTTATATAAATGCTAGATTTGGTATTAACTTACATTCTTAAAATTACAACTTATCTTAATAAGGATCTGATACATAAAATATAATAATACATACATAATAGTTCTCAACAGTATGTGTGTGCGAGTATGTATGTATGTATACATGTGTGTATGTTTGTGCGGATACAATTTTTCGTCGACGATTTCGAGAAAACGGATCAACCGATTTGAATGATTCAGACAACACTCGATTCCTATTGATAGGGAAACGTGCTGATTAGTTTTTGGCCAAGACAGGTAAAGTCGATTCGAAGATACGATGCTTAAAGTTCCAAAAATGGTAATTCAGTTTTAGAGAAAGCGGAGCATTCAATTTGAATTAATCAAAAAAACATTTCACTTGTGTCATAAAATTTTCAAAAAAAAAAAAATTACGGTACGGAAAGTTCTAGCAATTTGCTCAAGGCACGATGCCATGCACCACAGGTTTTATTAACTTCCCGTAGGGTAAGTTATAGTAATCGTCAAAATCGAAAATGAAAATTTTTGCGTATCTTCACGTTTTATAAACTCCTGAATATTTTGGCATACCCCAGAAAAATGGATGTGTGTGTGCGGATACATTTCTTCGTCGACGATTTCGGGCGCACGGATTAACCGATTTGAATGATTTAAAAAACATTCGATCCTATTAGATGTGCTGATTAATTTTTGGCAAACAACGGTCCAGCCGTTTTGGAGATACGGAGAAAAAAGTGCAGAAACAGGGAATTCAGTTTTTGCGAGTACGAGGCATCGGCTTAAGTTAATTCTAGCTAAAATTTTGAAGCTCTGCTTAAAATAAATAATTTTTACTTAAATTCTTAGAAATATTAGGAGATATGGCCGTTCAACCTAACTCCACTTGATTAAATTTTGTTTATTGACTTTTCATGTAAACATGTATAAACAAAGTTGTTTAATTTATAAACTCTAATAGTTTATCTAGGAAATATGAAAAATGTTACATTATATATAATAATCTATTTGGAGTATTTAAAATTATTCGAATATTACATTACATTACGATGTGAAAAGTTCCAGCAATTTACCTTAAGGCACGGTGTCAAACACCACTAGATCTATTTTTATTTTAAAGTTCTTGTTTTCCAATAAAACAAGCTACAAAAAGTGTTCTTCCTAGTATGAACTAGTTGAATGATGACACACAAAGAGTGTCGAAACGTACAAAATACCAGTATAAAGTAAAATTAACAGTGTAAGAAACCTAAGTATCAACGACATAACTAATCATTTTTTATTATTATATACTCGATTAATTTAATATACTCTTATTTTCATATATTTTTATATACTAAAGTACTTTAATATATTACATATTACATATATTACATATATTAGTATTTTTAGTTTACCGGTTATACTATACCCTAAGGCCAATCAAATTAAATTTCCAATATTATGTCTTCATATTAGGTATTACAGTTTATTATTAAATAGACAGTGCCAGGACTCGATCCAAAGATCTCTGGCATGCTACCATTGAGCTCATTTATGCTTATTTAGCTATGATTGAGCTATTTCCTCCGCCCTCAATGACTCAATGTCGCTGTCTGACAAACGAGAAACACTGTGTCCACCGATAAACATTCAGTTATTACAATTGTAAACAATTAGTATTTGGGAAATAAATGTGATATGAATGAAATTCATTTTACATATCACACATTTCGCAAATATTAACACATCGAGATACTAGGATCCCATAAATACGCCAACTTTCCACAAGAGTATTAATGTTCTTATTTCATATAATTTTCATGTTGTAAGGCATGTATCACATATAAATTTGTTGAAACCGCTGAATTGTCACAAAAAACTAATGAGCGACGTAAATCACTCAAAAATAAATGCAGACTAAACTTTTAGTTTATAGAAATGATGTGACAAACTACATAATTTTGTTATACGACGCCTATTGGCCGTGAAACGTCGCTCACAGCCGGCATAAAACGTCCGTACTCTGAGCGTTCATATTACAGCCGTCCACTAAAGGTGACGCTGGCTGTGTGGGGCATTCTGCGTCCGTCAAGTATACTTGCCATTCGTATCGAAGTGGTTAACTTTCCGTAGGATAGGTTATAGTAATCGCAAAAAATCCAAAATCAAAATGTTGCATATCTTTATTCAAAGTCTTCTGAACATTTTGTCAATATGTATGTGCGTGTGTACTGTGTATAGTATGTAAGTATGTTTGAATACATTTTTTCGAGAGCACGGATCAACAGATTTAAATAAATCAAAAAAACATTCGATTCCCATTAATGAGAAGACGTGCTGATTAATTTTGGGCCAGACGTTTCGAAGATACGGGCAAAATGTGCCAAAAATGGCAATTCAGTTTTTGAGTGAACGGAGCGCCCGATTTATTCAAAAAACATTTCCCTCGTATTGACGCAAAAGAATGATTAAACTCTTTGAAAGGCAGGTCCAGCGGACATCCGAAATAAAAGTTGAATGAGAAAAAGAAATTTAACGGTCAAAAATGATCATTTGACTCATGAACATCAAATTTACAGATATTTAACAGAAATTGTAATAATAATTACAAATTGTGTACACATTGATGAGTTCCGTACTAAGATTTATAATGTTTAACCGTTGCGATGTGGTGCTTACGCGCTTCAATATTTCGTCTCTAAAATGGCTACGCTACGGGATAATTTTGAAAAAAAAAATACATAAAATGTATACACATCATTAAAATCTCTATAAAATATTTGATAATTTGATGTACATAATAATAAATGGTAGTCTGCCCGAAGGCAGGTCCATGATGTGAGAGCCATCACGAATAAATAATTCTCTTGCCCTTTTATCTATTACCACTATTCCCCTTCCCAATTTTTTTATTTTATGTATTTTCCTTTCCGAACTTCTGGTTCCATGCTTCTTGATCCTGTGCTTCGGCTTTCAGTCCCCTGCACATATGCCCAATAAACATTTTTGACCGCCAAATGACATTTTTTTAACTTATTTTTATTGAGAGTCCATAAGTGCTATACCTGCCATCCCAAATATTTCTACATTGTTTTATCTTGTCAATAGAAGTAAAATGTTTTTTGAATTATTAAAATCGGACGCTCCGTTCTTTTAAAAACTGAGTTACCGTTTTTGGAACTTTTTGCCCCGTATCTTCAGAACGGCTAGACCTGCCTTCTCGAATACGAATCGAATATATTTTGAATTATTCAAATCGGTTCATCTGTGTTCCCGAAATCGACGACAAAAATTTGTATCCGCACACACACACACAAACATCCATTTTTTCTAAGGTATGGCAAAATGTTCAGAAACCTCTGACACCTAAAGATATATAAATTTTTTTATTTTCGATTTTTTGCGATTACTATAACTTACCCTACTGGAAGTTAATAATCATCAAGTAGAAATAATCATGTTATCTTGTAACTTTGATTTTCATATTAGAAGGAATGTATCAAAAATATATTTATTGAAACCGCAGAATAAGGAAATACATGAGCGCTGTTCATAATCGGTCGAATATTAGTCAAAATAAAAGTTGCCGCCACTCAGCAACAGTATAGTTTGTGTTTTGTCTTTGTGCGATAGAGACTTTTCTATGAGATATGTTTAGAAATTAATAGTTTATGTACATAATAAATCAAACTTTAACAACTTTTGAGATTATAAATGAACACTTTAAAAACACCTTTCGAAAAATTCATCAAATTATAAGTTATTGTTATTTTTTATAGAAAATCGATGATTACATACAATTAGGAATTCATTTCTTAAAAAATAGCAATATATCAAATCATGATAATCAATAAACTTTGAAAAGCCAGAAAATCTGAATTTTTGTTCTTAATCAATACTAAGACTAAATATTTATCGGTAACAGCAAGTAAAGATTAATTAAAAAAGTTTTGGCGCCAAAATCCGCCGAATATTCGGTCACAAGATTATGGCGAATATTTGGTATTTGGTAGTTGCCGAATATATTATTCGTTGCAAGCCTGAAATTAGGTTTAAGTTTAAGTTATTTTTTGGCACACTGACTAAGAAATACATAGTCTTAAAATATAGAAGCTTTATTACTTGGTTTTAACGAACATCTTTTTCAAATAATCAGACAATTTTTTCATAAAATATTTTCATAACAATATTAATTGATATTGTAAATAATTTAAATAACTTATTAATGCATTATTATTAATTATTATCAATCTATATGAATATGAATAAAAAAGATCAATTTTATCTTTGTAAAAATTTATTTAATAATATATAGAAAATAAGAACAATCACAGTGTACAATGCTAAAGAATATAAATATCTGCACAGAATCTTCATTGCATTAAAAAATCACACTTTTAAATTTGGTCATACACTAAAAATATATACTTTTATAATGAGTAATTAATTACTGATAAACTTCTCTGTCAACACACTCACAAGATTCAAAATAAGCTAAGAAATAAGACTAACAAGCTAAACTTGCTTGTAAACAGTCCAAATATTTAATCACCTGATTTAATATTCTAAAAAGTCTTTTACCAATTATTTCCACTGCTTCTAGAAGACATGGAGCAAAGCTTGAAAAAAATTATTAATTTGTATTTCATCAATTTTTTAAAGGTATTTTCTCTCACATTTCAAAAAAAAAAAAATAGATTGTTTGCATGTGGTATATAAAATCTTTATATAACATGCATAAATAGTTTTTTTAAACTGTGAGACTATTTCAACACATTTGATAATGCCAACTTGCAATTCCACATAAATAATATAAAAAAGTGCATATTGTCATGAAATAAGTAAATGTCTCACATTACAAGTACTTCTATATTTGTTACAAACAATAAGCATTTTGAATATTATTTATGTGGTTAATTAGCTTAGATCTATGACTGCATAAACTTTATTTTATATAAGTATTTTGAAATTGTTTAATGGCACACTATGCTTATTTCATCGAAATAAGACATACAAAAATTTCATTGCCATTCTTTCCTAATTAACTTAAAAGGTATAAACACAAAATTCTCAAACATCCATTTCCACTTCCATACTATTTAAATCAACACTACAACAATTATTATTGTCTTGCTCTCTTTCTTCACTTTGCTCTAAACTATTAATATTACGTATATCTAATGTAGGTGGGGGTTGCCATAAAACAACAGCCTTACAGGGCCTCTCTAAACTATTTAACAATGATAATGGTACAATTGGTTCGTTTTTCAACTGCCTCATTTCTTCACACAAAACAATTTTTTGTGCATTTTTTAATCTTGTTTCAAAATCTACATTAATTGTATCATTGTTGTTAGTCATTGAATCCATATCGTAATTATCGTAAGTAACAGAGTCTGTAGGGTAGTCTAATGAAATGTGTAAGTTGTTAAAATGTGCAGCCATTTTTTCTTCAGATATATGTTGCTTAGAAGGGCTGTAATGAGCAATAATAATTCGGTTAAAGTTCTATAAAAATACAGGTACAATCTGAGCTAACAGTCATGCAAAGAAAAAACAACATACACCTATCCCAGCTTTATATGGTACTCGTTTTACACATTTTCATTGTTTTAAAAATACAACACTAGAAAATGTACATTATAATTACAAATTCTTAGTACATAGTCTGTGTCTATGATGGAAATATGTAGATAAGATGGAAACTCCCAGTTTTATGATCAAAACTAAATTTTATGTGTGTATAAGCTAGTTTGTTTGAAATACCAAAACAAAGAGCAACATCGCTTTAAATCAGTGTTTATATATAATTGATAGCGTAAATTTATTCAAGGTAACAGAATTATTTTTTACAAAATCTATAATTCATATAAAATTTTATAGTTCAACAATGGCAAGAGATCAAAATAAAAAGCCAGAAGTTAAAAAAAAGTTATAAAATCTGAAATTTTGAACTGTCTTCATAATCTTATATATAAAAATGGAGCTCAGTATTATATTAGGTATGCTAAAGATCTATAATGGCTGTACAGATTTGGCCAGTATTAGTCTTGAAAAAATTGTGGATATCGAGAGGTTGTGGGAAAGGTGAAAAGTTAGAGGAAAAGTATCACTACAAACCAAAACTGAAATTTTGAACCGTCTCCATAATCTTCTTACATATAAAAAAAACCTCGGTATTATGTTAGGTATGCTTAAGTTCTATAGTGATTATACATATTTGGCCAGTATTAGTCTTGAAAAAATTGTGCTAATCCAGAGGTTGTGGAAAAGGTGAGATATTATTTCAGAACCGCGTAGAAACTTCACATTTTTAATTTGAAAATTTTTGTAGAAAGGTAATTTAAATGAAACAGTGGACAGCTGATTTGTTAAATATCAAATCGTTTCGACAGATGATGTTCAATTACATTAGATGAATATTATTTAATTGTAGTAAATAGTTTCACTTGTAGTTTTATTTATACACACAAACATTATTAAACAAATCGCAAGTGTTATTAGAAAACCAAAATATCAACTTATTTTTTAATGTTTGAAATGACAATTTTTGAATTCTTTAGAAATTGTTTACAAATACATTATATAGTAAAACAACGTTTACAATGAAATAATAATAGATGTTGATAATTTTTATTCTTTATATATATCTCTTTACTAATATTTGTTTTTCGATCAATGTGGTTGTTATTCATCATATTACAAACTGACAAAAGGGCATTTTTTATAGTGATTTTCATTTAGCACGGTTTTTCCATATAAGAGTGAATTTTTCGTGATACACGGTTTCTTACAGAGCCTAACTTCCGAGTAAAACATTAGGATAGGTGTATACAGAAAGAACATTTAATGCATGCTAGTAGTTACTAATTCATACAGAACTCTCTTACAACTCATACAGACAACTCGCAAGGCTTTATTGTGAATTACTACATTGCGTAGAATACTCTACACAAACTTGTGAGACAAGAATTGAATTTTGTCATTATTGTATCAATATTTTGTTTATCACTTACATTGCAGGTTCTAATTCCGACTTCCTCTTATGATGAATAATTTTAGGTCCACAATTGTTTTGTACTGCATTAAATTCCATGACTCTAGAATTGGGAATATTGGAACTCCAAGGCATATCATGTACATTCCACGGCGCCCCCGTGGGGACAGGCATCATATTACACAAACCCATGATTGGGGATTGCATATTATTTTTTCTGATATTATTACACTTTTTGTAGTTGTATGACATTTCAGATTTATTATTTTTGTCCTTAGCAATAGCACGAAACTGTTGAGAACTCAGAAAGTGTGCAGTGTGAATCCATGTAATGATTGGAATTTAATCACAACATTTTTGTTTATTTTCGTTCCTTCGTCAATGAATGCAAAGTATTAATTGAATGTGACAGTATAACGTAGTATGGTTAAATGTTTACAAACACGATGCTCGAAAAATCCAGACATTTCTAGTGTGATTGCGCAGCCAACATTAGGATCGAAAATAGTTTGTTTCAGCTACGGCGCTTGTAGATGGCACTGCAGGTTTTGGATATGTATTTGGGAGGCGGTTTTTTCAAATTTAGTCTTATAAGAATATAGTTATCTGTAAGCACCACATAAAATTCCAATTGAAATTGTCCGTGAATAATGAATGAATCATGGCCATGGCCATGGCCATGTATTTGCCGGATATTATATTTATTAAGTAAAATAGCCAAAAATTTAATATTAAAATAGTTGGTATTGGTATTTTGCCTTGAGGTAAGTTACATGAACTTCCTCAAGGCTTTACATATTCGTGTAAATAATCGACTTAATCAATGAAAATAAACTAGTGGTGGTATGGCATCATGCCTTAAGGCAAATTGCCGGAACTTCCCGTACTGTAACGCAATGATCGAGGTATATTAAATGTTTTCATATAGATTTTTATGAATATTGTAACATTGTCTAATATTTATAAAAATTATATAAACTGAATTGCAAAGTTGAAATTATTTGTTTAAAGTATATTAGGACTTTAGTCATAATTAAAATTAAAATCTGAATTATTTTCGATATACAAAAAAAAATGTTTTTGAAAAAAAAAAGTTTGAAACAAAATTTTTTACCAAAAGCGATTATTTTGTTGAAACAAGCAGAAAGTTCTTTGAATCATTCAAACCGGACGCCTAGTTCTCTCAAAAACTGCCATTTTTTGCACATTTAGATCTGTATCTTTGGAATGACTGGACCTGTTTTTGCCAAAGACTAATCACCTCTTCTCCCAATCATTACAAATTGAATGTTTATCAGATCATTCGAATCGGATACTCCGTTCTCTCAAAAACTCGATTTGTATTTTCTGCACTCTTTGCTCCGCATGTCCGAAACGGTTGGACCGGTATTTCCCCAAAAATTATCAGCACGTTTTTGCATCAGTAGGAATCGGATGTTTTCTAAATGATTCAAATCGGTTGATCCGTGCGCCCAAAAACGTGGCCGAAAAATTGTATCCATACATACACATAAACACACACACACACAAACACACAGCAATTTTATCTGAGGTATGAAAAAATGTTCAAAAACCTTTAAAACGTGAAGAAAAGTAAAAATTTTCAATTTCGATTTTTGGACGATTACAATAATTTATCCGATGGAAAGTTAAAAAGCACAAAAAATATATGCGGAAAAAAACTAAACTTTGAGACATTTAAAATATACATAATTGAATATTAAAATATTATTTTTTTATTTTTGCAAAAGTCTGTTCAAGCGCTCAACATTTGGCACTATCTGGCATTCATCCAATGGAAAACGCCGTTTGCATTTGATAAAAATATGTACAGGTATTTTAATGAAAACTTGGTATGTAGTTTAACTTTTCTAAATTTTGCATTTTGCCACTTGAAATCTTAAAATTTACAAACGAGCTTCATATTATATGATAACTAGTGATGCATGGGCATCGTGACTTAGGGCAAATTGCTGGAACTTCCCGTTCCAGCCGAAAATTAAAATCACTCTTTTGGACCTGTCTTTCTAAAAATTTATTCAGATTTTTATTTCGTCAATACAAATAAAATGTTACAAATATAATCTTAAAAAAACCGAATTACAATTTTTGGCACTTTTTGCCCCGTATCTTCGAAACGGCTGAACTTTTGCCAAAAACTAATCAGCACGTCTTCCCATAAATACGAATAGTTATTAAATTATTCAAATCGGTTGATCCGTTCGCGACGTTATTGACGGAAATTTGTATCCGCACACACACATACATTCATTTTTTTAAAGGTATGCTTAACGTGTTCAGAAACCTTTAAAACGTAAAGATATATGAGAATTTTCATTTTCGATTATTTTGCGATTATTATAACTACGGGAAGTTAAAAAAAACTTTTTGGCAGATAAAAAAAAGTTTTTACAGACCTTTGTGGGACATGTTTGCAATTATTATCAGTTTAATCGGTTTATTATAATATCCTAAAATTTAATTATAATAGTTAATGGAAAGATTTTTAACGCAAAATATATTTGAGCAGGATTTTCCTCAGGATCTTTAGTTTTGGCCCTAGTATTTTATGACATATTCATGATAATTACAATTTATTGTGATCACGAAACGGAAATACCACATACATCCATCTTTACAGAAATGCGTATGGCACGCCGTATATTTTAACGGCTAAACTTGAATTATATTTTATAATTAAAATACTTTTAATATCCAATTGAAAAGGTTTGATTTGACTATGGACTAAGCCATGATGCAATGACAATCTCCATCAAAATCAGAGATGCGTAACTGAGGTCCTCTTAGACCTAAAGACCTGAGACCTCTTAGATCTGGAGAACATAGAAACCAGTTACATGAGAACGACGAAATAAGAAGTAAGCTTGAAAAAAGTAACGACTACTAAAGGTTTCTAAACTGGGAACAAAACATATATACATACATCCACACACATCCATTTTTTCTAACAATAAGGTATGGTATACCAAAATGCTCAGAAACCTCTGAAACGCAAAGATATGCAAAAACAGGAAGTTGAAAATTATTATTCATTCACTCATTTTTATATAGATATCATTTCAACATTTTTGGTTTATTTTCGAAAGTAGTATTTTGGAAACAGCTATACGTCCCCGTTGGTATAGTCTTGCGCTCCCCTGAAATTAAAATCTGAATTATTGGGAAAAAAATGGGGAAAAAATTTGAAGCAATTTTTTTTCCAAAAGCAAATATTTATCAAAACGAGCAGTAAGTTTTTTGAATCTGTCAAATCGGATGCTCAGTTCATCTCAAAAACTACCATTTTGTGCAAATTTAGCTCGATATCTCCAAAACGGCTTTGCCAAAAACTAATCAACACTACTACCAGTCATTACGAATTGAATGTTTTTTGGATTATTCAAATCGGATGCTCCGTTCTCTTAAAAACTAGATTTTTATTTTCTGCACTATTTGCTCCGTATCAACGTAACGGCTGGACCTGCCTTTGCCAAAAACTAATCAGCAGATCTCCCTATCAATAGAAATCGAATGTTGTTTGAACCATTCAAATCGGTTGATCCGTGCGCCCGAAAACGTGGACAAAAAAATGCATTATGCCAAAATGTCCAGAAACCTTTAATTTTCATTTTCGATTTTTGGCCCATTACTATAACTTACTCTACGGGAAGTTCATAAATTTAACAATATCCAAAAAGACCAATAAAAATGAATTAATTTAAAAAATCCGCACATGCCATAACCATTATCTCTAAATGCAATCTTTAGTGTAATGGAAATAAAATTTTAAAAGGAACCGGAACAAGCATGTGAATTTAAATACAAGAAATCCGCACCAATGGAAGGACATACCAACAACAAACGATAACTATTTCATATAATAAAACTTAATTCTGGTTTTTCGGAAATATTAGTGTTAGATCTAAATTTCAAAATCGATATGGTACAGATTCGATCTGATTGTAAAAAGAGGGGACTACTCGACTTGACTCGGAATCGGAGGAAGATCAGCATTTCAGCATTTAGCCGGCACAATTTACCAACGGTCGCGAATAGTCGTGGTCGCAGTTCTTCGGTGCGACCGGTGCTGTTAAGACGTGTCTGCAGCAGTTTCGAATCTCGAGTGACATTAACGGTTTCGATAGGATTTTCTCGTAAAAGGAACTAGTGGTGAGTCTGCACAAAATCATTCTAATATATATAAAAATATAGTAAAAATATTAATCTCTATTTATAAAATAAAATTTATTAATTTATACAATTTGAGCAAGTCCAGTTAAATAATAATTAATTTTTTTTTATATTTATTTTAACAAAACTAATGTAGATTTAAATATAGATATTGTTTATAAAATTAAGACAAAAAATTTAAACCAAATATAATTTTCATATTCTCATCAAAAATATAAATTTTATTTAATGCAGAAGCGGGATAAAAAATACTGAAATAATTTTTTTTAATAATTTACGTGATTTAATAATGAAATAAATATATAAATTATATATATTATTAGACATGTTTAATTGAGAAATAATTAATATTTTTTCTAGTCCAAAATTAAATAATTTGAATAAAATTAATGTAAATATATTTTAAATATAGATAGTAAATATTATTGGCTGAATAGAAAAACCAACTATTGATCACCTTAAATTTCCAAGTGTTTAATTTATTATATACTATAAAATTTAAGTTGATTGAAGTAACAAATTATAGCTGGTTTAATTTTTTACTTTTAAACCAATATTATAAAATCAATATCTATATTTATGATATATTTACATTGTTAAAATAGATGCAAAAAAATTATTAATTATTTAATTGTACATGCTCGAATTGTATATATCAATTTTATTTTATGCGATTTTTATCAGAAACATAAATTTTATTCGATGAGAATAGCTGAATTAAATATTTAATACCTTATATAGATTTTATAATTAGACATACAATAAAATTTATGGTATTTATATATACAATTTGAGTAACTTTAATTGAATAATAAATAATAATTTTTCTACATTTATTTTACCAAAAGTAATGTGGATAATGCATTAAAAATATAAATATTATTTTATACAAAATTAAGACAAAAAATTTAAACCAACTATAATTTGTTAGTTTAATAAACTTAAATTTACAAGTGTTTGAACTATGAAATTTAAGTTGATTAAATTTGTTCGTCTAAATTTTCTATAAAACAATACATATATTTACAAAATATCTACCTTAGTTCTGTTGAAAATGGATTTGAAAAAATATTAATTATTATTATTCAAGTAAATATGCCCAAATAAAAAAATCAACAAATTCTACTCTAAGTCAAAATTGAGAATCTATCTATTTATTACCTTATTAATAAAATAAGTTAATAATAAATTTTTATTATCCTCCTTCTCCATTAAATCAAATTAATATTGCTAATTAAATATAATAAATAAATGTATGTTATTA